TAACGAATCAAGTTCATCAAAAAACAAAATACACGGTACAGCTGAACGAGCCTTGTTAAACACTAAAATATATTTTTCATATTAGTTAGTAGTTAAGACATTATAATTCTACATAAAATATATTCATTAATTTATTTTTTTTTCTATAATATTTCCTTACAATCTTATATATTACATATCTTTATAATTTTAAACAAAATATTATACTAGTGTATAATTAAATATTTACCTTCTCGTACATTAGCTTCACTTTGTCCAATATACATATTGAGTAATTCAGGGCCTTTAATTGATAAAAAATTGTATTTACATTCAGTTGCCACAGCTTTTGCTAATAATGTTTTTCCAGTTCCAGGTGGACCATATAATAATATTCCTAGGTACAAAATTATAACCATTATAACATAAAATTATCTTTAAAAATGGTTTAATCTATTATATATATTATAGACTATTATAACTTTAACATTTAAATACATATAATATATTGTGCTGCAAAAAAAAGTTTATTAATTTATTCATAGAAATGAGCTGATCTTACAGGCAGAGGAGGCAGAATGTATATATTATATAATAAATGATTATTATTATTATTTTGATTATTACTCTATTAGTTGTTGAAGCATTTTTATTTAATGTATCATTAATTTAACTACAAATTAATATAATTAAAACTTCGATTTGTGTTTTTATTATATAAATATTATGTATAAACAAAGAAAATTAATACATTCTTTACAATTTACAAAAAGTAAAATCTTAACTCTTTACTTTTCCAGGGTTCAGAGTACCGTTTTGTCTTAGGAGTTAATATTTTAAATTGTTCTATTACACCGTCAATGTTATAATTATAGCCCAATGTCTGCTCAATTGACAATGGTGAGTAGTCCATATAGTTGATCCTGATGCATTGTACTTTGTTTTTAGAATGCCCTTTCATAAGAACAAGTCACAGGAATAGTAACAAATATTTTTAGCATTTTAAATTTATTACTGAATAGCTAGTTTCTTTTCCACTGCCAAATCATGTTAATCATTTTATCCATGGTTCACGATTTTTGGGTACATTATCAGTATATTGAAAAAGTCTTATAGATGCACCTTTCAATTTTCAGCTTCCAAACCGAAAACTGTATAAAATGGTGATATCAGCATTTAATTCTAGTAAGTCTACAATGTTGTTGTATTATTAGCGCGATTTTGGCTCGATTACCGTTAAAAAAACGTGATTKCTGCGAGTATCGTGGATATTATCTATGGGGTATTCACTGTTTACACCATGATTCATGAGTCATGGCTAAATAATTAGGTATGATTAATAAATTGATTACAAAAAAAAAGGAAAAACAGTTTTTGTCTGGTTTGTGCATATCCTTAATCTATACACAAAACCTTTACTCATAGTTCTCCACATTTCATTGATCGGCAAATTCACTCTAATATTTAAAGTAATAGAGCTAAAAATGATCTGTTGAGTATACAATTTGCCGTGTTACATATTTATAAGATGAAGATAATACATTTTCATAATTATGGTTTTGACCCTGCGATTGTGGTAGGTGTACATATTTGCACCAAATACTGTTGATCTCACCCAGTTTCATATATGCTTATAGCATATAAAATAGTAATTTCCATTAAAAAAGTATTTCCAAAAAAGTAAATTTAATACAGTACAGCCAAATAAGGAGTCATATTTTGATGCAGCAGTAAAATTACAAGAGTAAATGTTTCAATACAATGCAATAATCATTGATAAATTTATTACCTGATCTCCTCATATTAAATGTTGAAGGTTTCAATGCAGACATAATTTCTTCTTTCACATTTATTAAACCACCAACATCGTCCCACTTTACAACTTGTACTGATGGCGCACCAATTGATTTTGTGAACATCAAATTTATTTTTTCTATAAATATAATTCAAATAATCACTTTATATTTTAGCATAATAAATCACTATATAGTTTAATATAATACAATAATATAAATTTTTAAATTATAATTTACAAACCTATTGAAAGCATTATATCTGATTCTTCCAGTATGACATCTGTAGATTTAATATTATGTATAGACATATGATTCCTTAAAAAAATATACATGTAGTAGTTAAAGACTTATATATTTATATTTGAAGCATAAATAGCTTAATTTATAAATTTACTTTACAGATAATAGCAGCATGGTCATATAATTTATATAATTGAACCCAGAAGTATGATCTATAATTTTTTTAATCATTATATCATCTAATGCTACAGAATCTCTTTTCAATATCCATTTCAATAATTGTTCTCGATTTCTTTTGCTTAAATTTCCGACTTGTTGACTTTGCAAGAAAAGTCTTAAAAAAAMAGGACTTAGTTCCTCTTTGGAGTTTGCAGTAGCAATAATTATTATAGGATTATTGGTTTTGAAATTTATTTGTCTGATAAATATATCCAAAATTTCTTGTTCTAGATCTTTAGTAGAAGATAAACATAAAGCCTGAAATTGTGTGGTTTATATTTGACAATATTAATTCATTATTTTAAAAATGAAAATTTTTAAAAAATCATCATATTTACTTCAATATTTTCTAAGTGTAATAGGCATGGTGTTATTTTTCTAACATCATCAAAAAAGCATTCTATTTTTTTTTTAAATTGAGCAATATTATTTGTAGGCCAGTTATAACAGCATTGAGATATGTACTGTATTCCAAGATATTTTGATACTGATTGAATTAATAATTCTTTGCCACATCCATTTACTCCATAAACTAAAAAAATTGGTTTTAAACATTGAAAATCTGAAAAAAAAAATAATAGTTAAATGTTTTGAAATACAATAGAACCCCAGTTATCTGACCGGAAATTGACATATCCGAATGTTAGTACGCATTGATTGTTGTCCTCGTACACATAATCATGTATATATTATAATACAGTGGTTGCCGCTTATAGTGATCACATCTATCTGATCACCACAAACAAGTGATTTTTATAACCAGTGAATACTGTAAGCAGCGACTACCGTAATTCTATGAGAATTTAGTAATAAATCAATGCATATTATATATCAATATACTTCTATAAATATTGTAAGCATAAATAAAAAATAAAAAATTCAAACATTCACATTCCAGAATTTTATGAGATGCCAATAAGTTTAGATAATAAAGGTTTTACAGTTCTCTCATTTATTAAGGTAATAAGCTATTGTTTTCTTAAATATTATCACTACTTAGTTAGATGTATTGAATAATAAAAAATATAGAATTTATCACCTGTATAACTTTGTTGAATAAATGGTTTTATCATTGACACAATTGATTCTCCTTCATCAATCATCCCACCAGGAAATATGTTCAAAATATAATCATTGAAATTGTTTATGCACACATTTTTTAAATTATTTACAGCAAATTCTTTTTCCATAGGGAAATATGTGTTGGTTGAATATTGAACTTCATTTAATTTAGTATGTAAATTAGATATGTAAAATTTATTTTTACAGTTGTATAAATTTACTTGCACACTTTTTTCTTCAACTTCAATAATTTTAATGTAGTAAATTGTACTACTAGTAGGTTCCACTAAATATTCTGTTTCGGGGTAAGTTTTTTTTAAATCCAATTTTAATATATCTCCTATTGATACATATTTTGGTAAGGAAAAATAATAGTAAAGTATTTTATCCAATAGTTTTTGTGTATCTGGGTTAAATACCAAAGGTTTCATCACAGATATTGATACTTTTGGTGTTATTTTTGGCTCAAAGTCTTTAAACGGTTTAATAATTCTCAACGTACAAACTTTATATGTATGATTGCAATTACATAGATTAAATAAATTTGTTGAAGTTAGAAAACACTCAGATTCTTTATATGAGTTTAACACTATTATTCTGTTATAGTGTGATAAAGGTAGACTGTGAGAACCAGTAGTTTTAACATTGACTAGCACCCATTGCATGTTGTTCAATTTTAGTTTGCTTAACGTTTCTTGGCTAACAAATAAACAATTGTGAATTTCTAAATTATGTTTCAGAATAGTGATATTGTCATAATTATGTGTAACTAGCTTTTCCAATATATTGTCGGGAACGCATTTGAATTGTATTTCAGTTCCAAAAAGGATGTTTACTCTAAGATCATGAAGCATTGTTGACTGTATGACTAGAGATTTGGTTCTGCTAAAACACGACTTCAGTAGATAATTTATCAATGAAATGTACCTAAGAAGATATTTCCTTTGAATCGCCATATTTTTACAGTTGCAATTGTACAGATTATCTGAAGAATAAAACTGACGAAAAAAAATGTATGTGACTCGCGCCCGCTCGTTTATTAAATAATAAAACAATTATACGACCATCCACGCCGGACTAAAGATAACTAAACGATTAACGAATGGAAAAATTAATTGATTCTTACACAGTAAAGAGTCATACACCTATACATAATAGTATACGCCATGGCCATACGGAGACGAACTAAGAAGAAATAAGCATACCAACTATCAAGATTATAATATTTTGGTTTAGCAAATTACATGGTTGGCGGGTGTTGGGGGACGGCCACCTAAAGATTCCTCGTACAACTTAACTCGTACTGGGCACTGGATATTTTCAGTGCTACCGGTGGTTTTATTTGGCGTCAAATGTTGTAATGTTGTATCATAATCCATGTTTTATACAGATGACGTTGTAAACACTAGGTTGCTATTGCGATTCTGTGTACGACCACATTATTCTGTGGTACGACTGTACGAGTGTACGACTACAACTGACTGATAAGTTTACAAATGAAAAAAATTTACTGATAACAGTGATTACTGATATTTGTATTATTAATTTGATATTATTGTCATTTTTAATCTCGTGATACGTCTGGATAACATTTACGTACAACGTCCACAACTTGCACAACCAACAACCACCTATGTTCATTAAAATTTTCAATTATATTTTTATGATYTTACCCCACCCAGAAGCTATTTGGATACGTCCTGACGAACGCAGCCGATTTGCCGTGGAAACGGTTGGTTGTACATTAAACAAAATTTGTTATCAGACAATTATTATTGAGTGAGCCTGTAAGCGTTACTACTCGTTATTGAATAGTGTTTAAGGGTATTCGGCTTTTTGTTATAATTATATACATTACTATTATATTTGTTTTTAAATGCAATTATAACTTTTTACTTAAATGAAATGTGTTCGAAATACAGTTCCTGTTTTGCGTGCCTCGACTGATCGAAATCTGCTCATCGAGACGTCCGATCATCAGCCAATTAGCTCAAATCAGTGACAATCATTTGTAGAATTCCGTGTTACGAGTATAATCGAACATTAGATGTGCTTCCGTGATTTTATCTCTTAGACTATATTATTATGTTACCAACGAAGCTCAGGGCGTTAAACGATTGTTCCACAGATGAGAGTAGCAACAATGATAATGTGCCGATTAAAATTACCAAAGAAGCGTTGGTAGGTGATTTTTAATTACTTGTTTATAAAAAATACAGAACACTTGAATATTCTAACTATTGATTGTTTTATTATTGCATAATATGTGAGAAACAAAAAAAACTTGCAGTTATTCTAATTAAAACAAGATTAATATTGAAATTATTAATACTAGCTATAGAATTACATAACTCATCACCATTTTTTCTAAAGAGTTGTTTTTCAATTATATTTGATCATTTATTTACATCGTTAAATAAAATATTTAATTTCAGGAAACAAAAGCAGAACTACAATATAGCCAAGCATTACAATGTTTAGCAAGAGATCAATTAGATGAAGCAGAGAAACAACTATCAAATTTGTTAGAAAAAGAAATTATTAATTCTGTATGTTTAAAAAAAATGTTTTCTTTGAGTTTTCAATAATTTCAACTATTTTTATTTATTTATTTTTTTAGCTGAATACTACATTGAATCAAAAGGATAAATCTCAATCTTTGTTAGCTCATTTAAAATATTGTTGCCTTACAAATTTAGGAAATATTTTATTAAAAAAATCTAACTACCGTGAAGCCTTAATCCACTATCAAGAGGTGATTTAATTGAATAATTTATTTTAAGTGTAATAATATTGATTGGCTAAATGTATTATCTATTATTTAGGCTTTAAAAATGGACAATACTGACTTGAATCTTTGGTACCGAATAGGGCTTACTCATAACAAATTGTATCAAACTGATCAAGCAATATCAGCATTTTTAGAGGTAACTATTAAATAATAAATACTCTTTATTGCTATCATATTAATAATATGGTCATATATAAGCTATGTCCAAAATATAATCAATAAGGCAAAATTGTGTACATTTTACCAAACACTGGATTGTAAACATTACCATAAAAACAATATAATTACATACAAATCCTGTGCGATGTTCCTGGTTTTTTTTTATATTCAATATTATAAATTAACTTAACATTTTCCTTTATTGACCTTATATACTGTGAATTATTATATTGTTTCAACAATCTAACGATTTCTGATATTATATATATTGAAAATTCTCTAATACTCATTATATTATTTGTTATCATTATAGTAAAATCATAAACCTATTATACTGTTCATGTAAGATGTTAAGATGAGTGCAAAGTAATAAGTATAGAATTGTAAGATACAATATATCTAAATACTTTATTTATATTTATTTTATTTTATATTGTTGTCTTCTGGTTAATGATTAATGGTATTTCACCATTAAATCAAATTTAAAACAAGTCGTATTATGTTAACGATATCATTGTTCAATTTTTTTTATTATTTTAATATACTTTGTTATTTTTTATTTTGGCCAAACTACTTATACAAGCTTTTCAACTTGGAGGTATAATTAACTGTTACGTATATAATATGCTACTACTAAATAAATTACATATAGTTAAAGAAAACTGGCAACATTGCACATAAATCTTAAATAAAAAATGTATGTAATTTTATACATCAAAATATGTATGACTCCGTTTGCTTGATTAAAACTGTACTCAATTGTATTCACAATTTTAGATAGGCCTATCTTAAACACATGTTTTAGTGTTGTACCAAATGTAAATATATTGATATTTTATAAATAATTATATGTGTGTGTCTGTATATATAATTAAAATTATATTCTTTAAAGTATGTCCAATGGAAGTATCTTTGTTCTATCCACAGACATTTGTTAAGTTAATTAGTTGTTATAAAAGTTGTCTATTATCTTAAAAAAATGTTTGATCAAAAAAAGTAAGCCGTCTTGTAATTCACACTAATGGTTGAACAAAGAAACTAAAAACTCTTCTAGAATTATGCATATAAAAATCAATATATTTTATGTGATGACTTATTCATTTTATATTATTGTATTGTAATACAGTTTGAATAATTTGTATTTAAGTACAGCATATTTTACTGTAAGTCTTTCATACAACAATAACAATTAAGTAATAAAGTATTATTTTTCAGGGCATTAAATGTAATCCTAATCATTGGCCTACTTTGGATAAATTGATTACATTATTATATGCAAGCAACGAATATGTTTGTTGTTTATATTATATAAGCATATCACTTAACTTAGATTCTGGATATTTAAAAGGACATTTTATCAAAGAAATTATTTTCAAAAAGTTTCCATCATTAATATCCTATTTTAAAAGTTATTGCTCAGACGGGTAAGTAAAATAAAGTTTAAAATATTTAAATTTAACAAAAATCATGTTTTTGTATAAACTTTCAGTGGTTTAGATATTACATGTGCTGAAATAATAGATATTAATATACAGCAAAAGATATTAAATGAAATTGAAGATATTAAGAAAAATGATCCTACTTTATGCTTAGGAACATCATCTAAAAATGTGGATTGCAAACCAATATTGTATGCTAAGCCTTTAATGTTTAAAAGTTGGGATCATCTTGGAAAATGGTTACTTTCAATTTATGATCATATGTTTGAAAGTTATGAACATTCGGTAACTATAACTTATTTAATTTAAATATTTAAATCTAGGAAGAAAATGTGTTTCAAGAACTATTTGTTGCATACATCTTGTAGTTTTCATTTTGCTTTAACAATTTGACTTTATTGATCTTTTTAAAAATGTTTACTTAAAATGAATGAATGAATGAATTAATTAATTAATACAGCATTATAGAAAAAAAAATAAAAGTAATTTGCTATGCAATAAATCAAATATACCGAAATACTGTTAAAATAAAAAATTTTTTTAAACATAATATATTGTAAACAGGTAGTCATATTTTAAAATTGTTCATATAATTTTTTTTATTAATCTAATCCTTAAAAATTTAATCTAACTATAAGAACATAAAAGTACTATAATTTAATGATTTTATATTGTGGTATTTATTTACAATGATGTGCTTGTATGGTTTTTGGCCCTTAAAATTTTCTAATCAATAACTTTGATAGAGGTTTCAGACTTTTGGTAGCAAATCAAATTTAATTAACACTGGCACTTCAAAATTGAAAATTGTTATTACTGTTTAAAATAATTAGGTAAAATCAAAAACAATACAAATATGTATTTAAATTATAATATTATTATTTTATGGCCTTGGTTACCAAGATCATCTTAGATTTATTTTAGTTTTGTTTTCAAAAAATGTTGATGATCAATTTTTCTATCAAAAACTAAAATAGAATCTTAAAAATGAGTTCTTTAAAATATTAAAGATACATAAAAGGTATAATTTTTTATAAGCATTTAAATTTCAAAGTTTTACAAAATTCATTAAAATCACAAACATTTTCTAATAATTGTTTGAAAACTTAATAAAAGGTTCCTCATAAGTATTTCATACTGTAATCAATAAATCACTGACTATTTAGGATAGTGAAGAGGTTATGCAAATGCAATATTATATTGCAAAAACTGATTCAACCGCCTTATTTTCATTAACAATAACATTTATATGATATAATAAATTTTCTAGGTTGATATGCCGTATTTTCCCAAAATTGTTTTTTTTTTATTGAATGATATAAAGTTATTGAATTCAAATTTAACGCATCTATTTCTTTGACTCATACAACTCCTACAATACCTTTGAGTAATAACCAAATATAGGTACTACCTTTTTTGATGTATTTATTGAGATATTGTCTCATAAAATGAATTGTTTTGTTATACAAGATAATGGTTTTATAATATAAAATAAATATTTTTTTATTATGAAAAACCTAATTACTGTACTCTTCATTTTGTTGTATCTGTTATTTTTTTTTGTATTATTAAATATTGATATACATTTTTAACTTTAATTTTTCAGCTTCTTTATGAACCTATACAATTTAATAATGAATTGATAACTCTGAACACAACAGAAAGTCATATTATGGTAGATGAAAAATGTATTGAAAACGATTTTGAAAAGCTTTCATTTAAACTTGATGGTATATATTATGAAACCAAATTTGTATCATTAATATATAATAATTGATAAATATTATTATATTATTTTGATGTTCGTATTAATAGTTCCTGCAACAAAACGAAGAAAAAGTT